GTACGCATTTACCAAGCGTGTCTGTCTAACCAAATCTCTGAGAAAAACACTATCATAACCCAGCCTGTCTATGGAGCCTCTCCTGTCTCTAGGCCTAATTATGGTGTTAAAGTCACCTCCAAAGACAACCTGCTGGGACATAAAAAGGAAGGGCTTGATCTTTGTGAGGAGGCATTTCCTGCCCCATTTTGACTTGGGTCCATAGATATTGATCAGGCGCAGGTCCTGCCCCCTAACAGAGACGTCTAAGGTCATGCATCTTCCCATTTCTACCTCAATTACCCGCCGGCACATTACCATATTGGTTTTAAAAAGCACCGCAACTCCACTGCAAGGTTCAGCCGCAGGAGACCAAAAGGAGGGACCACATCTCCACTCCCTTTTTGCTAGATAGACATCGGCCAATGTATTGAGCCAGGCCTCTTGCAAAAATAAAATCTCAGCATCAAACTCGCTGAGCAAAAATAAGGCCATATCACGAGCTCCTGCAGATTTAATGCTGGCGACATTAATGGTCACCACTTTTAATGGAGTGGGAACTGCCATCAGGATGATTGGGGTAGTCGTTTCTTAACCTCTACCACACTCTCATCACCCGAAACAGCTCTCTTCAGAGTACGTGACTCCCCCTCATCCATAGATGATAAAGAAATGAATAAATCAGATTCCATCTCATCAGCTGACAAAACTGAATAGGTGTTGCCAAGAAGGACCCCTCCTGGGTCTGATTTTGAGGAAGAAAGGACAGCTCTTCTCAACCTACTCTTCTTCTTCTTTCACTAGTCTGGAGGATCTACGTACTGTAGGATTAGGAACAGGAGGGACAGACTCAGGAATTACATTACTAGGGGAAACAGAATCTGACACAACAGACGGAACAGACACAGGAGGGGCAACAACAGTTTCCTCCCTAGCATCAGCTGCCTCATCTTCTTTATCCAGCCTCTTCAGCTCAGCCTCAACCCTGGCAGGTTGTGTAGTGCCTCTGGGCACTGACTATATGGATGACCCAGCTGCTGATACAAACCGCACCAAATCTGGATGCATTCCTTGGCCAAATGGCCTAAATCCTGGCACAGCGAGCACTTCTTGATGGTACAGGACGATGCAAAGTGGCCTTTCTCTCCACATGTATTACAAACCTTAGGCTGACCCTGATAGAAAATGGTCAGGCTATCCCTCCCCAGAAAAGCTGAGCAGGGCAAGTGCTGAACCACATTGCCCAGCACCCTCAATGCAGTGACACTGTGCAGGCCCCTGTCCATATCCCATGCTCATCCAGGACCTTCCACAGTGGGGTGAGGACCTCGCCATATCGGCATAGCCACCCTACCAAATCAGCTTCTGGTATGGATTCATTACGGACCGGGGTCGTCACAGATTTTATCAAAGGCTGCTTTGAAACCACCTTTGGCACCAAACCTCTCCGCTGCCGCGCTCACTGCTGCACTGTTAGAACCTTCAGCTCCAACTGTCATCTCCTCCTCCAGATCAGAGCTTTCAGCCCAGAAATGTATGGACTGTTCAGACACAGCAACAGGTAAAACATCACAGACATCCATGTTTGCTGTTTGCTTTCCACATGGTGCACTGTGCTGCTCCCCTCCCTCACCAGCATCAATCAGTTCTAGAACACATGAGAGTTCAGGTGCAGCAGACTCCTTACAGCCAGGGGCCATCTTGCTTGCAGCATTCCCAGAGGCACTACTGGTCTCATCAAAGGCTGGAGCAGCAAAATCCATATCCGAGGTGTTTGGCGCAGATCCATCCACATTCCTCAGGTGGTCTGGAGACATCTCTGTCTGAGGTTTCCCTTTCATGTCTGCAGAGGGTTTCTCCACAGTAGAAACTTCCACAGCAGGTTGTTTGCAGAGCTTCTCTTTCTGTTCCTCAGCCAGGACACCATCCCCCACAGAAAAGAGCCCCTCACCCAGAGATAGACAGTTCACCAAAAGCAGGTCTGACATTCCACCACTCCCTTATCTGGACTATTCCAGGCTCCCAGTCCTTCTCAATATTCCCAACCTCACCCAGAATCGTGCACCATCACCTCAACAGGGAGGACTTTCTTCTGCAGCGTAATCTGACATCGTGCATTCCATGTGAAATAAGGGACAACTATAAAAACTAGAAAAAATTTATCCAAATCAAAATCCCAGTGAGTTGCGAATGCCCTGTACATCCACTCCACAAAACTCATGCAATAGAAAGGGAATGCATAGAACCCTCCCCACCTTTTTATACACCTCTGCGTTAAAGGGACGCTGAAGCAAAAAGTGGTCCATAGACTCACAGGCATTGTTCCCACGGACCACCAATGTGAAGGGCACTCTTCCCACTGACCACCAAAGTAAGGGGCATTCTTCCCACTGATCGCCAATGTAAGGGCATTGTTCCCACTGATCACCAATGTAAGGAACATTCTTCCCATTGACCACCAATGTAAGGGACATTCTTCCCACTGACCACCAATGTAAGGAGCATTCTTCCCACTGACCACCAATGTAAGGGGCATTCTTCCCACTGATCACCAATGTAAGTGACATTCTTCCCACTGATCACCAATGTAAGGAGCATTCTTCTCACTGATCGCCAATGTAAGGAACATTCTTCCCACTGATCACCAATGTAAGAAGCATTCTTCCCACTGATCACCAATGTAAGGGACATTCTTCCCACTGATCGCCAATGTAAGGTGCATTCTTCCCACTGATCACCAATGTAAGGAACATTCTTCCCACTGATGATCACCAATGTAAGGAGCATTCTTCCCACTGACCACCAATGTAAGGAGCATTCTTCCCACTGATCGCCAATGTAAGGAGCATTCTTCCCACTGATCGCCAATGTAAGGAGGATTCTTCCCACTGATCGCCAATGTAAGGAGCATTCTTCCCACTGATCACAATGTAAGTAAGGGGACATTCTTCCCACTGATCGCCAATGTAAGGAGCATTCTTCTCACTGATCACCAAATGTAAGGGACATTCTTCCCATTCTGTAAGGAGCCCACTGATCACCAATGTAAGGGGCATTCTTCCCACTGATCGCCAATGTAAGGAGCATTCTTCCCACTGATCACAAATGTAAGGAGCATTCTTCCCACTGATCAAAATTCATTCTTCCCACTGATCACCAATGTAAGGGGCATTATTCCCACTGATCACCAATGTAAGGGGCATTCTTCCCACTGATCACCAATGTAAGGAACATTCTTCACACTGACCACCAATGTAAGGAGCATTCTTCACACTGATCACACAATGTAAGGAACATTCTTCCACTGATCGCCAATGTAAGGGGCATTCTTCCCTCTTACCACTAAAGAAAGTTATTGAAAGGGTTCCTCTATGTTAAAATGGTTGTGAATTGGTTGGGAGGTAGAAAATGCACCAGGGTCACTGGGAGTAAACAATGCCTCCTTCTTGGTGGTTATCGAGAGTAAAAAATGCATAGCACCTGTGGTCAGTAGTCATTGGTATTAGTGGAAGGAATAGTACCTCATCGCTGGTGTCAGTGGGAGGAATAGTGCATGATTGCTGGTGTCAGTGGGAGGAATAGTGTCCCATCATTGGTATCAGTGGAAGAAATTTTTGCCTCATCGCTTATGGTATCAGTGGAAAGAAATATATTGTCTCACCCCTCAAGGGGCGTCGGTAAGGTAAGCAATAGTGCCCCATCGCTGGTGTCAGTGGAAGAAATAATGCCTCATCGCCCACTGGTGTCAGTGGAAGCAGGAATAGTGCCCCATAGCATGGTGTCAGTGGAAGGAATAGTGCTTCATCGCTGGTATAGTGGGAGGGATAGTGCCCTGTCGCTGGTGTCAGTGGGAAGAATAGTGCCTGATCGTTGGTGTCAGTGGAAGGTATAGTGTCCCATAGCTGGTGTCAGTGGATGGAATAGTGCCTCATCTATGGTGTTAGTGGTAGGAATAGTGCCTGATCACTGGTGTCAGTGGATGGAATAGTGCCTCTTCTCTAATGTTAGTGGGAGGAATAGTGCCCCATCGCTGGTGTCAGTGGAAGGAATATTGCCTCATCTCTGGTGTTAGTGGGAGGAATAGTGCCTGATCACTGGTGTCAGTGGAAGGAATAGTGTCCCATAGCTGGTGTCAGTGGAAGGAATAGCATCTGATCACTGGTGTCAGTGCAAGGAATAGTGCCTCATCTCTAATGTTAGTGGGAGGAATAGTGCCCCATCGCTGTTGTCAGTAGGAGGAACAGGGTCCTATTGTTGGTGTCAGTGGGACTAATAGTGTGCCCCGTCGCTGCAGTCAGTAAGAGGAATTAGGCCCCATCGTTGGTGCTGCCTCATCATTATTGTCAGTGAAAGGAATAATGCCCCTAGGGCAGAATAAAGGCAAGCAAAGGGCTGCATCCAGCCTGCGGGCCATAGTTTGGAGACCATTGGTCTATGCTAACACTAGACAATCCTGGGAGATGCCCCCCTTTTTAGCACATAGCAGGTGATTGCCTGTGTTATGCATGTTTTCCTATAAAACTGCGTGTGTGTGTGTGTGTGTGTGTGTGTGTGTGTGTGTGTGTGCGTGTTGGGGGGGTGTCCTGTTTTATGATGTGCAGTGTGTGTGTGACTTCAGATCCCTGCCCCCTGTCTTATGGAGATGTGAAATGTAGTGTAAATGTTGTGCTTTGAATGGATGTAGGGAACATATGGATGTAGATAAACAAGTACAACTTATGTAGGAGGATTGTTTCAGCTCTGTGTGTTAACCTGAGGATAGTCACTCTACCGGGTATATGGAAGGGTTTACGTCCGCTTTAATAGAAATACTGAAGGAAGGAGAATAACGAATAAAATAAATAAATTGTATTTCTCCTTTCCCGGGGTTCTGCTGATCTAAGGCGAATTTTATGTAAATGTTACTTTCTAAATGGCGCTTTCTGCAGATAAATAGATTATTTTCATTATGCGCTTCGAAATGAAAAGCGATGTCCCTTCCACTTAAGTTCATTTGCATTTCCCCTTCTCTCTCTCCAAAGATTGATCACGTTGTGCGGGGCCATAATGGATATGAAGAATTGCAGAGGAGAGCTGAAGAGAGGTCAGTGCCGTTTTGTGTGTCTGTTGCCGTTTCCTGGCTGGCGGAATCTCTTCGCCGTGTCATTACTCTAATGATAGAAAGCAGCGCAGGTCTTCCGTCCGCCGCGCCGCGCTCAAGATGTGCCAAGATAGCCCAGGCTTTAATTACTTTTGTCTCCTGCTGATTGAATGCTTTTTTGGAAGAAAATATGTCTCGGATGCTACGGAACAAGGATCAAAGGCATAAAAAGATTGTTTTTAGATGAAATGAGAGGTTTTCCCTCAGGTTATTGTAGACGGAGCCAAGGCTGACTCGGGGAATCAATCATTCACTTGGTCTATAGCTTGCTGGCTGGTTTGGTGATCTCCATCTATTACGTTTGTAAGAGTATATAAAAGGCTGAGAGCTTTATTCACAAGGGGCGGTCAGAAGATATAACCAACGCGTTTCAGATGCTCACCAATCCGCCTTTATCAGGGCTAACGGCAGCCATGCACACTTCAGATTTTATTATTATCTGATCGATATGGGATTCAACCATAACTTTCCTTTTGATCGATTTAGACTTGGGTTAGATTGGATTCGACCAAACTGATCAGTCGGCCAGGGTGGAAAATTGTTTTGCATCAATCGGTAGCCCTGAGTTGATTTGGTCATAATATTGATTGTATTTGAATCGGAGCACAGATATCACTAAAATCCTATAATATAATCGTGTACACCAATGAGGTTACATCCCACATGGAAGAAAAATATATTTGAAATATATTTTAAAAATATTCTTCCCAAATATATTAAGATATATTTGAAATACTACAATTTTGGCTGTATTCAGTATATATATATATATATATATATATATATACATACAGTATATACAGATGAAACTCGAAAAATTAGAATATCGTGCAAAAGTTCATTTATTTCAGTAATGCAACTTAACCTCCCTGGCGGTATTCCCGAGTGTAGCTCGGGGTAAAGTTTCAGTGCCACAAGCGGTAACCTCGAGCTACACTCGGGCTTACCATGCGGCGCTGCTCCGCGATCCCTCGATCACTTACCTTGTCCTGCTCTCCCGCGCGATGTCATTCCTGCAGTGTCCTCCGGCCGATGCCGGCATCTGTCATCTGGGTTCCATCCTCTGCGAGCGTCGGGACGTACTGGGGACGGAACGGCGGGAAATTTGAAAATGACAAAAAGTGACATTCACTCAATACACTAAAATCACATAGTATAACATTCCTGTATCAAACCATTTCACATACATTTTTGTCCCTAGTGCTTTGTCCGGCGCCCTGCCTGCATTTTTACTGTTCTTTCTGCCTGGAAACTGAGAAACGTCCATGGCGTCCAAAAAGCGTCCCTTTAGGTCAAAATCAGTTTTAGACCGGCTAGAGAACAGCGATAGTAAATCAGAACCACTTGCAGAATTGAGTGATAATGATTCGTGGGGGAAATTCCTCATCAGACACTGAAAACGATTTTGCGACTTTGCTCAGTAATGTGCGAACTTGGCGCTTTATTTCACATTTCAGTGTTTTTGGTTTGATTATATTATTGAATTACATTTATTATTATATTATTTTTTTTTTTCATGATTATTTATTAAATTAAAATTTATGGTTTCGTGTTTAAAATTTTATCATCCCCGGGATGTTTACTATACTCTTGCTCGGACAGATTTCAGTGAGTTATTCCTAAGAATTACAGGCCTACAATCAGGGGCTGGCAGGACAGGGCTGTGGAACGGACAGGTAGGCCTAGTGGCAGGGTAACGCACTGACTGACGACAACCACCACCAACAGACCGAAGTCCCTCAGGGCGCGGAGTCTAAGTCCAAGGCTGCCCTTCACCAGGGCCCCTGATGGTGGGGATGGACTTGACGCAGCCAGGAACCAGGTCGCGGCCCCCGAGACACCCCGGCTGCGGTAATGGCCGTCGCCAATGGCGTGTAGCTGGTAGGAAATGACAATAGCATAGTCAGGCAGGCCAGGTCGACAACAACGGGACAAAACGGTACAAAACAGTAGACAAGAATCACAGGTCACGGCCGGGTTCAGCAACGGAAGGTCAGATCAAAGGAAAACGCAGAGAAGGGTCTAGTCACAAGCCGAGTCAGATTCCAGGAGAGTCACGAGAGTAAACACAGAGCTGTAGCAACACAAAGACACAAGACACAAGTGCAAAGAGCATGTGCAGATCACAGGCTTATATGTACTCAGCCACACCCCTCTGGGGGATGGACCTCAGAGACCTGGAGGCATAAAAGACTCCCACCATGCTCTGCAGAAACCCAAGATGGACGCCAGTACATGAAGCCGCACAGTCTCTGGAAAAGGTAGGACCTTGACAGGGGCGGACTGACAACTCATGGGTCCCCCCCCTGCAATAGGGGATCATGGGGCCCCTGTGTTCTTGCCCAAACTCAAAAAAGCCTATGAAAAAGGTACCAGGGGCATCTCATGGGGCCCCCTACTGACCCCGGCCCCTCGGGCAGTGCCCGAGTTTCCAAATGGTCAGTCCGCCCCTGCCTACAATATAAAACGCCAAATTTCCATGCAAAATAATGGTACCGCTTTCAGCACCAAAAATCAGAAATAATCATACCGCCAGGGAGGTTAAAAGGTGAAACTAATATATGAGATAGACTCGTTACATGCAAAGCAAGATAGTTCAAGCCGTGATTTGTCATGCCATATAATACACACGATGCCTGTGCCTCTGCACTACTGACGAGGCTTTTCAGCGAACCGCGTTGAGTTTTGACTTGGTCCAGCTTATGTAAAAAAGTAGAACAGTGAAGGAAATCACATATGATATATGACAAACGGGAATTGTAGCGGAATCCATCATTAACGGCTTCTATTACATTCTATGGGATATACAGTTTTCATCCCCTGGCAGAAATCGTGAAAGTTTGGCATTGATATTAAAAATTTGATCATGCCAAGAAAGCTGTCTTTTATTGAAGGATAGTGATCATATGAAGCCATTTATTATCACATTGTTTGGTTCCTTTTCAAATCTTAATGATAACAGAAATCACCAAAATGGCCCCGGTCAAAAGCTTCCATCCCCTGGACTGTTCAGCCTTGGTGCAGACACACAAGGTGACACACACACGGGGTAAAATGGCAATTAAAGGATAATTTTCCACATCTGTGGCTTTTTAAATTGTAACTAGTGTCAGTGTATAAATAGTCAATAAGCTGTTAGCTCTCCCATGGGTGCACTGAGCAGGCTAGATACTGAGCCATGGGGAGCAGAAAAGAACTGTCAAAAGACTTGCGTAACAAGGCAATGTAATTTTATAAAGGAAAAGGATATAAAAAGATATCCAAAGCTTTGGATATCCCAGTAAGTACTGTTCAATCACTCATTAAGAAGTGGAAAGTTTAGATATTATTATTATACAGTATTTATATAGCGCCAACAGTTCGCTCAGCGCTGTACATTACAATGGGAGACAATACATGAGACAGTACAATAACAATACAATGCGATACATGAGGGGTTCGAGAGCCCTGCTCCTTGGAGCTTACAATCTAGGAGGGAGGGGATAGTGGTACGGGAGGAAAAGCTGTGGGGGGTGGAGTGGTAGGAAGAGTGGAGGAGATCGGCAGTTAGCAAAGGGTGGGGTAGGCTTCCCTGAAGAGGTGGGTTTTTAGGGTGTGCCTAAAGGAGAGGAGAGTGGGTGATAGTCTGATGGATTGGGGTAGGAAGTTCCAGAGGATGGGTGATGCCCTGGAGAAGTCCTGGAGGCGGGCATGGGAGGAGGAGACCAGGGAACTAGAGAGAAGGAGGTCTTGTGAGGATCGGAGAGTGCTTTTTGGGTGGTATTTGGATATTAGGTCAGTGATGTAATTTGGGGCAGTATTATGGACAGCTTTGTACGTCAGTGTAAGCAGTTTGAATTTGATCCGTTGGGCAATCGGAAGCCAGTGGAGGGATTGGCAGAGGGGGGTGGCGGAAACGGAGCGGTTGGTAAGGTGGATGAGTCTGGCCGCCGTATTCAGAATCGACTGAAGTGGGGATAGCCAGCGGCGAGGCAGGCCAGTGAGGAGGGAGTTGCAGTAATCGAGTCGTGATATGATGAGGGAGTGGGTGAGCTGTTTAGTAGTTTCTGGGGTTAGGAACGTGCGGATTTTGGTGATGTTGCGGAGGTTACCAAGATACCAAGCCAAAGCCAGGTAGACCAAGATAGATTGCAGCCACAATTGCCAGAAAAAATGCTCTGGAAAAAGATGGTGTAGTTTTTTCAGGGAGCACTGTCAAAAGATCTGCGTAAACCGAGTGTGATTTGACAAGGCAATGTAATTTTATAAAGGAAAAGGATACAAAAAGATATCCAAAGATTTGCGCATTCAGTCAGTACTATTCAATCACTTATTCAGAAGTGGAAAGTTCAGGGATCTCTTATACCAAGCCAAGGCCAGGTAGACCAAGAAAGATTACAGCCACAACTGCCAGAAGAGTTGCTCTGGACAAAGATGGTGTTGTTGTTTCAGGGAGCACAATAGGATGATACTTGAACAAAAATGAGCTGCATGATCAAGTTGCCAGAAAGAAGCCTTTACTGTGCCGATGCCACAAAAATCTTGGGTCTCTATGTCTGACAACACCTTGACATTCCTCACTGGGATTTTTTGTGGCATTGGTGCAGTAAAGGCTTCTTTCTGGCAACTAGACCATGCAGCTTATTTTTGTTCAAGTATCGTAGTACTGTATTGTGCTCCTTCAAAACAACCACACTGTCTTTTTCCAGATCAGCCTGTATTGAGGTTGCCTGTGGGTTTTTCTTTGTATCCTCCCGATAAATTCTTCTGTCAGTTATGGGTGCAAGCTTTCTTGGTCTACCTGACCTGGGCTTGGTATCAAGAGATCCTTAAATTTTTATACTTCTTAATAAGTGATTAAACTGTACGGACTGGTATATTCGAGGCTTTGGATATCTTTTTATATCTTTTTCCATCTTTATAAAGTTCCATTACCTTGTTATGCAGACTTTTGACAGTTCTTT